TAGGGCCCAGAAAGGGCTTTGGCAAATGAAAGACTTAAACTTCATTGGTCTTCTGGCAACTCCATACCCAAGCCAAGTTTTTTCTAATCAAGTGATTAATTAAAAGAAAGGTTAAGAATTTTCAAGATGTAATCCTTCTTTGAACCCAGCTCAATTAATTGTGAATCACATGTTCATTCCCAGATGGAGGGAGAAGCCATCAAGAAGATGTCTGTGGATACTAGCTCCTGCATCACATACCATAGGGCATGTTTCCGTTCAGAATGTCTATCCACATCTGCTTATGTGAGAAAGGACAACAAGGTAGTATCAAGAAAAAAAATGTGGATATAAAATAGTAATGGTGAAGTCTTGCCATACCATTTTGGCAATGATCTTATTTTCTCTCTTTTTTTTTTTCTGGTACTGGGAATTGAACTCATGACCTTGCGCTTGCCAGGCAGGTGCTGTGCTGCTGAGCTAAATCCTCAGCCCCTAATGAACTTATTTTCATTCAGTTGAAAAAAATGTTCACGTCCTCATTGGTTATTAGATCTGTGGAAAACCACCTTGTCACTATGTGTATAAATATGTCAAGTATGGTAGTTAGAAAGTAAGCTCATTTTAAGAAAAAGAAAGAAAAGGAAAGAAAGAGAAGCTCTTGATTCCTGATATCTAGTCATTTCCAACAAGTATGGCTTTGTTAAAAAGTTGTGCCTTAGCTGTGCATGGTGGTACAGGCCTACAATCCCAGCACTTGGGAGGCTGAGGCAGGAGGATCCTTGCAAGTTGCAGACCAGCCTGGGCTCAAAGTGAGCTCAAGGCCAGCCTGAACTGCATAGTGAGACCCTGTCTCAAAAAGAAAAAAAAGATGTGCCTTTTCCCGTCTCCCAAGACTTAGTGACCTTATGCTTTGCTGACCTGGGAAAATCCAGTTACCAAATGAGAACTTTCTACTGTGAACTGTAAGCTTCTCGCTCTCTAGATCACAGCCCAGGGAGTAAGAGCAATATCTGGCTGGTCTTCTTCACCGGGGGGCATTGGGAAGCCCAGACCTGGGAGTTCTCACCACTGATCATCTGCATCACCTTGGATTATCCTCAAGGGGACATCTGTAACCTAGTTAGAAAGCAGACAAATTCCTGCAAATGCTAAGGTAATCGTGGCCGTTATACTCCAGCTCCATCGGATATAACGTTAACTTAACATGAAGGAAAATTTTCTTCTTACATAACAAAAAAGTGAAACACTACCAAGATATTTACTTTCTTAGTTATGATTTACATTTAGTTCAGGCAAAGGTACATATTTTACTAAATTACAAGCTTTCACTTTGCCCTAAGATTCGAGGCAATCTCTTCTATGTGATCAGCATTTAGCATTTTTGCTAAATCACTCTACCCTTGTCCCAACCTCAAACAACCTGGAAACACATTTTCTCTCAAAGACTCAATGCTCGATAAATATGATTATCAACCTACAGAACTTATCCTAAAAGACAGCCTGCATCCTCAATCAACACACCCCTAAGAGTAGGACAGAAAATGAGCACTTCACACCCGGCGCAACAGAACTTGCAGCCTGCTGGGTATGGAAAGAGAGACTAAAGCTGACAACTGGGGGTCGTGTGCTTTGCAGAGCCTGGGAGTGCAGAAAGAAAAGAATCCCAAGAGCTCACCATGTCTGTTCACATCACACACTAAAATTTACCCAAAATTAATCACAGACCCAAATGTACACAGTAAAAGTCTAAACTCTTCAGGAAAAAATGAATACATAAATTTTGTTACCTTGAGCAAGGCAATGGGTTTTTAAATAATACCAGAAGTATAAACAGCAAAAGAAAAACTTGATTAACTGGACATCCTCAAAATTAAAAATCTCTAAGCTTCAAAGAACACCACTAAAAAAGTGAAAAAATAATTCATAAAATGGGAGAAAATTTTCTAGTATGTGGAAATTAGGGGGGAAAAAGAGGACATGAGAGCAAAAGAGAGGAGTTGGGGATATAGCTCAGCTGCACAGCACCTACCTGGCAAGCGAAGGGTCCTGAGTTCAATCCCCGGTACCAAAAAAAAAAGAAAGCAAAAGAGAAACTACTAGAATAGAAGGGTGTGGGAGAAGGAAAGTAAAGGAGAGGCCAGGAGGTGGGTATGATGGAAGCATGTTATATATGTGTGTGAAAATTCACAATGAACTCCATTATTTGGCATAATTAATATACACTAATAAAAACAAATAATAATGTAAAATAGGGGAAATACTACCATATATCCAATAATGGGCTTACATTCAGAATATATAAAGAACATTTCCAACTTAATAATACAAAGAAAAATTATCTAAGAAAGGATGAAGGATTTAATAGATATTTCTCCAAAGAAGATATACGAGTGCCCAATAATCACATGAAGAAATTACTCAACATCATTAGTCAGTGTAAATTAAAACCATAGTGAGATCCCACTTCATGCCCTCCAGGATGACTAAAATTTGAAGGACAGAGAGTAACAATTACTGGGGAGGACGTAGAGAAGTCGGGACACTCACATGTTGCTGGCAGGATGTAAGAAGATGCGGTCACCTTGGAAAACGGTCTGATTATATCTCAGAAAGTAAAGCATAGTTACCGTATGCTCTGGCAACTCCAATCCTTGATACGCACCCAAGAGAAATGAACACGTATGTCCACACAAAAGTTCACATGTGACCGTTTAGAGCATCTATACATCATAGCTGTAAAATTGGAAAGAACTCAAAAGCCCATCAACTGAAGAATGGATACACAAAATGCAGTATAGCTACACAATGGAATATTATATGGGACTGAAAAGAGAAGTATGTTTCATGCTACCACAGGTGAACCTTGAACATGTTATGCTAAATGAAAGAAGCCGGACTTAAAAGAACACATTATATTACTCCACTTTCAGGAAATGTCGAAAACAGGCAAACCCGTAGAGGTAGGAAGATTAGTAGTTGTCAAGGGCTAGAGTAGGGAGGAAGACAGACCAACTGCCAGTGGGTACGGGCTTTTTTTCTCGGGTGATGAAGTGTTCTGGAACGACCACGGCCCCTCCCCTTTGTGCATATACCAAAACCCACCGTGTTCTACACTTTAAAAGGGGAACTTTATAGTATGCAAATTATATATTAATAAAGCTATTATGAAAAGCACAACAAAACAGGGCTGGGGGGTGTCACTCAACCAGAGTGTACTTGCTTAGCAATGAAGACCCTGGGTTCAAATCCCAGCACTGCAAGCAAAACAAATCATTTCTGTTCAGGGAAGAGGGTGTCCTCGTTTTGGCAGAGAAAGTCAGGGAGTGGAACAGCCGCTAATGTGGAGACCCATCAACAGCGCCTTCCAAACGACCTCCTGCTTCTGAGTCTGGTTGTAACCTGGTTTCCTGATTTGATTTCTCCCAGGAAACGCACTTCCTGCCAGTGGCAGGGAGCCCGCGGTCCTCTCACGTGTGTTAGACGTGTTTGCAGGCCCGACGTGGAAGCACTGACATGTGCCATGGGACAGCGCGGGGGGCAAGACAGACAGGGTCCCGGAGCTCGCGCCTCACACCCTGGCGGGGGGCATAGAGAGAAGGGAAGAAATAAACAAGGAAAGCGTGTTCTTTTTCGTTATTCATTGCCTTAAACAACTTCTCTTCTGACCCAAACTCCTACCCTCACCTCACCTAAGTTACATGTATATAATCTCTATTTCTCTGTATGGTTATCTAATATATCTGCATAAAATGTAAAGTGTAGGCATTGGGGTGGTACCGGCAGGCACTGAGACTGTGGCAGGGCTGAGTGACTGTCACTGCGGCAGCAAACAAAAACACCGAAAGGAAATGTCTCCCCGGATTTGGAGGCCGATTTATCTAACGCCGACAGGCCTGCCAGGGACTCAGTCCTCAAAATATCAGGCCCTGATCTCTGGTACTCTAAGATTTATACAGGGTTTGCGAGCGAAGTACAGAAGCGGAGTGTTTGGCGGTTGTTGATTGGCTACATCTTAGCTCATTATTACTGATTGGCCTGAAAGAAAACTACATCATATGTGTTGCATAGTAAGTTAAGCAAACTCTGGGCAAGCTCGGAGTTGTGGGAAGCCAGTGCTTGAGATAACGTACAAGTTCAGGGTGCGGTGGGTGAGATAAGGGAAATATGTACCTGGCGCCCGCAGAAGACAGAAAGACAGATCTGCTCAGGAGACTAGCCAGTTGTAGGAAATTTAACTTTAAACAGATAACTCTCTGTTTTCTTTCTCATTGTTATTGTGATTATGTCCTGAAGAAGTGCTGACGTCAGAGGTGTTGTGCCCAGTGACGATGACTTAGGTCCAGGTGGGCTGGTGCCCCTGAATGGGGAGACCCTAGGGTTGAGCGCGCAGCCGCAGAAGGTGTCGGCAGGAGCCTGGCTGTGGCCTAGCAAGGGTGGGAGACCGTGACGCGATCGAGTCCCCGTTCCTCCCCGACCTCACCCCTCCCGGTGTAGGATTCACAGTTGAGTTCATCTGAACTCTGAATTCTCGGGGCTACTTCCTTCCTTCCTTCCGTCCTCACAATACACAACACCTGAGCCCCACAGCTTAAAGCAGGGGAGGATTACTTTGACCAGAGTGTTTAGTCTAGGGTTGGCCAGCGGCTCCAAGGCGGAAGGGCCTGCTGGAGCGGAGCTGTCATCTCATTTCAGCCAGGAAGCAGAGACAGCCAGCATGGAGGCGTAGTGCGGAAGATAAACCTCCAGGCCACGCCCCAACGACCAGTGCGTGCTGAGCAGGCCCCACTGCCCAACATCAAGCCCGCAGTAGCACTCACGTGGGCCCATCACCTCCTCCAAGGCCCTGTTGAGCGCGAGGCTTTGGGAGACCTCAGGTGTAAACCAGGACAGCCACCTGCCACCCCAGGAGCGCCGGAAGGTCGGTAAGCCGGGAGTGCGCTTAGAGTGTTTCCCAGCGGCGGGAGCAAAGCCGGCTTTGCAAAGAGGCAGCTCGGAAGGAATTCATTCTACTCCTATGAGCCTCCAGCCGATGTCTCTCTTCCCTGCAGCGCCGACACTGGGCGGTGCCCACGCTACATGCCCTGTGCCAGGTAAGGGACTTCGGGACTGGCGGTAACGATAACGGGGGCAGCCAGGGACCTCTGAGGGCAAAAGGACTCAGGGAGGCCCTTCCAGGGGTCACACGAGGCTTGTCAAGGGCACGGGAAGAGGATGGAGTCAGCGGGCTGGGGCTTCACAAAATAGACCATTGGGTGTGCTGTCACTGAGACGTGCGGACATGATGGGACACGTCGGCTACATAACACTTTGTGTAGCCTTGATTGGCACTTCTTTTCCTTTGCGTATACTGTCATTGCCATATCTCAGCTTCATTCCTTTTATCACAAAATTAGCGTTCTTGCTTTTATGTCAGCATAGCTGAGTAAGAGCAAATCACTTACCCACTCCGAACTTCAGTTTCTTTGTCAACTAAAACGGGAACAAGGACCCTGAAGAGGAAGTTGTCGTGAGGGTTCAGTGAGGTGATAGGTTTAAAACACCGAGCCCAGCAGATGACTAAGTTTCAGGGAGTCTTAGCTGGTGTTGGTAGCGCTGTATTAGCAGTTTTGAGATAGTGACGACACAAGCAGTTGAGATGCAAAAGTTGGAAAATCTAGTTTTCCAACGTGCAGAGCCGAGGACCAGCCCGTGCCTGTTCCTGGCAGGGACTCCTGAGGCGCGTCTGTGGAGTCGCTAGCTGGAGGCTTTAACAAGTTCTTTATTTTTAAAATGAAGCCATTAATATTAGTTTCTCACAAATTTTAGTGTAATTTTTATTCCAGGGATAAGATTGAATGGACAGATGGATGGATGGATGGATGGAGGGATGGGTGGAGGGATGCATTCCAGACATTTATGGAACGCTTATCACGTGCCAGACCATGTGCTGGTTGCCAGGGACTCTTAGCGGACAAGGCCACACCTGCTTCCCACACTCACGAGCTTTTGAGACCAGAGCATCCTGGGTGTCGTCCATCTTGCAGACGTCCCAGCAGTGCATCCCTTTCCCGCTGTGTGAATCCTGTGTGTCCTCCAGGATCTGCAGCCGTGACTGCCAGTGCTCTCTCTCCGGGCATAAACCTCTGCAAGAGGAAACGCCCCCTCTCCTGCCGATCAGGTGTCTAGGTTTCTGCTGAGTGCTGGTTTTCGCTGTCCTGCAGTGGGAAAAGGGTGAAAAGACACGGTGGGTCCCAGACTGTTGGTGTTGAGGATGACCTCAGAGCTCACCTAGGGGAACACCGACCTGCCGAGACAGGAATGCCCGCCTGCATGTATCTGACAAGCCCTTCCAGCTCCAGAGAAATTCCTTTACTTGCAAAACCACATCTCTTGCAAAAAGCAGCCTTTCCCCGAAGGCCTCCTCATGCTAATTACTCCGAATGACTTGCCCTTTGTGAACGTAGTGTCACAAAATGATAAATCCCCTCGGGCTGACATTTATTGTTTCCCCTCCTCTGGCCGAGGACCTCTCTGGGCTTCCTCAGTGGACTCCACCAAACAAGTACAATTACATTCGAGACATTTGAAAAGGCAGCCTCATTGCAGCCATCATTTAGAAGGAAGAGGGGGCAGAGACTGCTCAAAACAATAAAAACTGCTGATAAAGGCAGTCAAACCCACGAGTCTAGCCTCCACCCAGGCCAGAAGATCCTTAAAACAATTTAATTGTAAACTAAATTAAAGCAAAGAAATAGAGAATTTTAACTTCCATGTTAGTTCAAATTAAAGGAAAGAAGGTGTTAAAAAATGTTCAATTAAAGCATTTGGGGCACACTTGTTAGGATTCCAGAATTCTAAAACAAACGCGAAGTGACAGCTGGTCATGCTTCGTGTCCTCCCTGAACCATTGCTAAACTCTCTTCTGTCAAAATCTCTACTGAAGAGGCTTAAATAGGAAAATCTAGGGGGAAATGAAGCGAACTATGAGGTACTGAATGGTTTCACTTTAAAAGGAATCTCTATGTGCAATTTACCAAAGACATTCTCTATCCGGTTAGCAGGAATCTGCACCCTATGAGCCCTGGGGTTGTATTATTAAAAAGCTTTTAGCCAGGTGTGATGGTGCGTGCTTGTAATCCCAGCAGTCTGGGAGGCTGAGGCAGGACGATTGCAAGTTTGACCGCAGCCTGGGCAACTTACCAAGGTAGTAAGACCTTGTCTCAAAAGTAAATAAATAAATAAATATATATATAAGGTTAGAGATGTAGCTCAGGTCAGAGGCCCTGGGTTCAATCCCCAGTAGTGAATTTAAAAAAAAAAAAAGCACTTGATATTAATCACATCATTTGAACTTTTTATTCATTTATTCACAGTCTCCATAAATTGAGTAATTATTAGGCCATTCATAAAAATAAATAAAGTTCCCCAGTGCAAGAATCTATTAACTCTGCTTTTGACTTGGGGTTTTCATTTTAACATGTAATGTATGCATTTAAACACCAGGGGACAGTGTGTGATTCATTTACTTACTACTACATCAAAGTAAAATCTTAATTTCAAGTGTTTTTCCCCCAAAGACATTTATGTCATTTTATGCCTCAGAAATTAAAAGTAAAGATTGGTAGAAGCGTGAATCATGAGGCCAACTAATCAAGTTAATTTGAATCATAATGGAAATTAGAAAGATTAATTTCATGGGCAATCAATAATGGAAGCTGTCATGTTTGAATAATCAAAATTTTAAATATTATGTGGTAATTAATTCATTACTATAGGTTACATATTTTAAAATAGCTCCAATCTTCCTGGCTTTGGCATGCTTATTAAAATGTTTCTTTATATAAGTTTTGTGTGTGTGTTTTTAAATGGGCAAGAAAGAAAGCTAAATTATGTAATGAAAACTCACTCATTGGTAATTTGCCTTCCCCCATGGAAGAAGTCAGTTGTCAGCCCTTTGTAGAAGACGGGAGAACTGTACTGTTGACAAAGGCAGGCACCCTGGACACTTCATAGCAGACTGAGTATCCCGAACCCAGACATCTGAAATCCTCAGTGCTCCAAAGGCTGGAATTTATTTGCTTACGCAAGGGGAGAATTCACCCGACTTTCTGTGATGGGTCACAGTAGCAAGGTAGGTAAACTAAAAACATTGCCTGGAAACACCATCCTATTATATGCATAAAGGAATATAAGGAAATGTTAATTAACCTTGTATTTAGATCTGGGTATCATTCCCAAGGTATCCCATCAAATATTCCAAAACCTGGAGAAAATCGAGTTCAAGATACTGCTCGTCCCAAACATTTCAGGCAAAGGATATACACTCAGTCTATATATTATTTTACATTCTATTGCATTTGACTTGAGGCTTGGCAAGTGGTCTTGTAGGCCCTCACCATTTACAACATGCACCCAAAAATTAGCTGACTAGGTCTCTACTTCATTTGCAATATTCAAACTCATATGCAAAACTTTTGCTATTATTATTCATCTATGCAAAATGGACTTGGAACATTCTTTCCAATATTACTTCTTATCTTGTGGAGTATTTTAGTATTATCATTAATGAATCATGAAAACTACTATATAGTGTATAAGTGATGATGTGATTTCCAGAATACAATGTATTCCTATCATATGTTAAAAGGGTCTTACTTATGAACCTGGTAGGCAAACAGACCTGACCTTGCTTTATACATTTCCTTCTTCCATTCTGATGAGTTATCTGGGTGATCTAGATTCGTCCTGGCTTTGATGATACCCTGAGTATAATATTTGACTTCTATAATGCTAACTGTATTCATTCTTTCAGCCAACATGTATTGGGGTCATCTACACCCTAGTCCCCCTTTCTAGGACTGGAGATTGGACAGCAAATAGGACTAGGGATATGATGCAAATCTGCATCATAAGGAAGAGGGAAGAAGCACCAAAAGCCTCTGTGCTCCTCTAAGAATCTAAAAGGGGCCTAGTATAGTTGACTTCCTCAAGTAAATGAGGAAGAAAGTGCTGGATGCTGTCAGATGCCATGGCGTCTTGGCAGGGCAAGTAAGCGGCTTGGTTCTTACTCTACAGTGGGAACCCCCTGGAGATTGTTGAGCAGGGAGATGGCCTGACCCTCTCACTCTTTTAAGGCATTCCCCGAGATCATTTCACACGGGGAGTGGTGGGACTGGGATCATCACAGGGTAAATGATGAGACAGGATGTGTTTGAGGGTTGGCACCTACAGGGACTTCCTCGTGGATTTACCATCGGCTGTGAGGGAAAGAACAGTCAACAGGGGCTTCTAGCTTTGGGCTAAGAACACTGGGTGTGGAGAAGCCAGAGGAAAAAGCAGCATTGTTCAAGGTGAAGCATTGATTTGAATACAAGAAATGTAAGATAATTGTGAAATACCCAAGTAGAAAGTTGGATCTGAAACTCAGAGAAGAGTTCAGCTCTGGATTACTATACCTAACTCTCCGTTAAACTTAGCAAGTATTAGAGGAGACTGATACTAAGTAAACACTCTAAGAGCTGTCCTGAAAAAGTGCAAAAAGACAGTGGGGAATCACATTTACACTGAGGGGTTGGAGAGAGCAACCTCTTGGGAGCTGAGGGCCCAAAGACTACCGACTTCTTCAGCAGCAGCACACTTAGATCACAGACAGAGACGTTACCTATAGAGTGATAATTGTTTGGGGAAACAGATTGTGTGCACTTTCTAATTCACAGCACCACCCTGGACCACTCTGCTCCCAGTGACATCCCAAGAACATCCCTAATAAATATTATATGGAGCATCTGCTCGCATGATGGGTTATGACCAAGGAGCTAAGTGCTCATTGTCAGTTCTTTTATTTTCTCTTCTTTGTAACTCCTTTTTAGGAAAAAAAGGACAGCAGTGTCAATAAACAAAGAATGATCTATATCAAAGTAGCCTGTGGCATATGCTTCACCTAATCTCCCTTCCATAGGCCAAAATCGCCAGTTTTCTTTCCCACTCTTCCCATCATCATCATAAATTAAAGCTAACGTGCCAACCTTTATTTTGTAGTTTCTCTTCTCTTTCTTTTGGAGCGGGGAGACCTAAGCAAAGCTCTTACTGTAGAGTATTTCACATTGGTCGTGGGGAAGAGCGCTCTTGAGTGGCCAGAATTACAACAGAACAACTTGCTCCGCCTCATCTGCCACATATTCATTATCAGAATTGTTTCTGTTTTTTCTTGGGATTAAGAAGTTGTAGTTCAGGGGAAAAAATTAACATTCCAAGTAATAGTTTATAATTAAATGGCTTTATTCTGCTATAAGCTCCTCCTTACCCAGAAATTAATGAACGTACATGCATGTGAAAATACAATCACATACATGCCAACAGACTAAACAGCATGTGTGTATCTTTACATTTTGTTCCCTAAACTCTGCCACCAAGGAACAAGTTGAACCATGGAAACACTGGGTGTGTGGTTGTTTATACTGAGTTGATTGAAGCAACTGGCTTGTAGCCTCAGACTCTAGCAAATCCACTTGGATCCTTCCTAGCTGGTAAGCAAATCTTTTTTTTTTTTCCCAGTAGCTGATTAACTTCTAAAGTATAAAATTTGACTGTCATTTCTTTCTTTTCTGTTTCAGTGGGTTCTACCCCAGCAGTGCACCAGGCCCGTTCCCATTCCATCCCAGGTTTCCTCCTCCCATTTGCTCTCCAGCTGCTGGCCCTTCCAGAATCAACCCTTTCTGTCCAGAATCAATCCTTTCCACCGGTTACACTTCCCAGATTCCCCCTTCGATTATGCCACTTTTCTGCTTAAAAATGCTGGTAATTTGCTAGTCATCTGTGAAGTCCAAACTCCCAAATATGACACCAGCTGGCATGCTAGCCCTCCCCCACCCAGAGCCCACAGTCCGGCGCAGCAGAGCCATCTCTGTGCCTGACTTGAGAAAGTCTTCACATCTCTATGGAAGCTTTAGGCTCCCTTTAATGTCCAGCCCACACGCAGTCTCTGTGATCACCAAATCCATAAAACTATCATCCGAGGAGACGGCCCACAAAGTGATGACCATCAGGGGATGTGTGCCTTTGCATTATGGGTCCTGCACTTGCAGTTTTTTGTTTTTTTATCTTTCCCATCAGAATGGGAAGGTCCTTGAATCCAGCCCTGTCACTGTGCCCAAAAAACAGCACTGTGTCCAGCACACAGCAGGTGCTCCACAAGCACTTCTTAAACCAAAATATAACACTGTCAGAAACCTTAGTGGTTATGTTCGTTTCATCCTAATCAGAAGAACAGCAGGTTTCTTTTAGATTATTTACCTGGACAGAGTGATTCTATTTCCTCTTCCAATACATCTCTTTTAATTAAAATATCTCTTGTGGTTTATGTGGTATATTTTCACATGCATTTATTTACATCATACGTTCCTTGAGAACAAGTAGGCTATCTGTTTTAGTGAAAGGTAAGCCATGCTTGGGAGGACTCTGGGTAGATCCCCCAGGCTACCCACCATTACATCCATGTTTAAAAAGCAGGAACACTGTCACTCTACATGTGCCAGTCTTACCTACATTCTATTTTTCCCCACCACAAAACATGGCTTTAGCCAAGACAGGAATTTACCTTTGATTTTGTAAAGCTGTCTAGCCAATAATATTACCCACAACAACTTTTGAAAGCCTTAACAACTTACCTGGCATCTGATTATTTGAGGCCAGCAAAATCAAGGCAGGCAGTCAGACTGGTAATGTTTATACTGACAGATTCTCTCATCTGTGTGTCTCTCAAAGCTCCCTGCAAGGAGCACCACTGCGCTGTCTGCCCTCCAAGAAACCGCAGCATGAGATCCTTGCAGTAATCTGCTCTGCCCACCTCACCCCATCCTTCCTGTCTTCTTCTCCCCACCCCTCTCAGAGTCACCAGTGAGGCCTGTACTGTCCTCACTCCCGTTCCCATGGAGCTGTCAATCACATCAGTGCCCAGCAGGAAGCAAAGCTCAAACAGCTCTTCTGTATTCCTTCTTTTTCTGCAAAGAAGGAAGAGATAAGGAACTGAACACCAAATCCAAATGTATGCATTCTGACAAGATTTAAAAACTATATCCTAGAGGGACAAAAGAATGTTACAGTTGTTCCAGGCCTTGGAGGAGAGATAGCCATTTCTGAGGTGATGATTGGGTAGCTCAACTCAAGACATAAGGTTGTTTCCTGAGGGAGAGCGCTAGGCTTTTAATCAAGTGAATACAAGTTTGAGATTTTCAAACCTTTTTGCTTTGATATGTGTCCATCACCTTCCAGCTCCTCCTGTCACTGCTGTTGACACAGCTGGGCTTCCTCCCCACCTGGGACCTGGAGGCTTACCCCAGGCAGCTGGGCCCCCACCCACACAGCTTCATGAAACATTCAGAGATGTCCCTGCTAGGTGACAAGTGCATGTACCTCCGCACAATACCACTCCTGCCAGATGTCACCTCAGCTCACCTCAGTGGCCTGGTTATGACAGACCAGCAGCAAGGCGAGGGAGGGGGCTGTGTTCCATTGGTCCTGTGTACCTGGGTTTGGTGACACAGGCCAGGCCTGTCTGGGAGCCAGGAGTGATTATTACGCTAATAATAGTTACCATTTATTAAATTCCCACCAGGCGCCAGCTGCTTTCTATATGAAACAATGATGAGAGCTGGTGTTTGTTGAGCTGCTTATTATGTCCCAGATCTGTTATGGATTCATTATATGTGTTTGCTCATATCATCCCCATCCTCCTCAACTACCCCAAGGGATTGGTATTAATTGTTTAGCATCAGATGTATGCAGAAACCGAGGTGCTGACGGGTGAAATCCCGCCCAGGTCACATAGTAATGCACTATGCAGCCGGATCACAACCTGGAAACACTATTCCAGCCACCATGTCCTTTGTTGTCATGTTCTACTATCTGCACTGATTTTATGCTTCTAACCACCCTAGTTTTATGGCCAGTTCATAGATGGGGAAACTGAGGTTCAGTGATACCAATATAGCAAGAAGCTGAGTCCTGCTCAGACTCGTAGACCTCCAGGCCTTGGCTCCTGGCTATAGAGCTCTGTGAGCTCCGAAGTGCCAACAGCTGTGTGGCCTTGAATACCATGTGCAGCCACGGACGTTCTCTTCAAGAGCTACCATCTTCTCTCTTTTCCATTTTCTATGCCAATTATATATCTGATTTCTCAGTGCCGCCCAATCTCCCCCTACCCACATTCTTACCCTCGCTGCCTTAGTAAACTCTCCCGTGTCTTCTTCCCTGGAGGCCCTCAGTGAAGGAACTAATAGACTATCCCTTGGAAATCTCTCATGGTCCAATACAGCACCTCAGGCTGGCCAGTTCTATTCCTCAGGGAACGCAGCCCTCGAGCCCCAAGCTGGGCAGTCCCTAAGGGAGACTGGAGCCCAGGGACCTGTGGTTTCACTACCTGAAGTGCAGGTCCAAGCAACTTATGGCCTCTGGCCCAGCCAGTCACTATTCTGACAAGAGATCTGCAGGGCCCAGAGGGGCTTTCCGGTGGGAACTAAAGGTCAGGGGGTGTGAGATCCTTTCAAGCTGAGGGACCTTTGTTTCCCCTCCTGCTATTATATAGGAAGGACTTGGGTAGAGATTTTATTTCTATAGATTTTAAAGCAAGGCTTTTTCAAATGCTCTTCTCTTGAATTAAATTTAAAGAATTTGTCTAAAAAAAAAGCAACAAAACTAAAATTTGTGGTTTACTACCATAAAACTAACTAAATTGAAATTTCCCTTTTTGCAGGAGGTGTTAAATATATCCACACACCCCACATGTGAAGTCAGCAGTGTTGGAGTTCATCCAGTCGTACGGTTGGCTGGGGCCAGGCTCTGTCTCCCAGGTGTGCCAAAGAGTCCATTCTGGGGGGAACTTAGAGTTTTAAAGACACTAATTTTTTTTCCAGTACAATAAAGGTTAAGTTTTGAAAGAGTTGAGCATTTTTCTCTACATTTCCATGAACATCCTTCCAATAATATTCAACATGAAAAAGCTAAATACCCTAATGATCAGAAAAATATACAGAAAGGGAAGAAAGTAAAAGATTAATTCTTAAGGTTAAGAAGGTTGAGCATTAAGCATTTTGAATTGTTAGACACCATACAAAGCAGGAAGAGACTCCCCCAAAGGGCCTCCACAATTGGTGAGGACAACCGACAGAGTCATAAATAAATTAAGTTGGAATAAATACTAATGCCCTGCCTCTTTTGTTGAAGAGCACAGAGCTTTCTTGCAAAATTCTTATTAGTAATAAATTCTCCATGCTACCTTGGTGAACTTCTAGTTTAAATTTTCAGTTATTTTTTTTTTTTCCAGCCAACTTTGGACATGTTCTGAAGGTTTTATCTGAACCTTTTTTTTCCCAGATACTCCTCTGGTTGTCATTTGCATAGTCATTTGCATAATGTTATTCCTGATAAAGCTCTGGTTCTCTGAAGAAGAAAATTAGCAATTATTATTTTGCCATGGAGTGAATGATAGGGCAGGCTGTTAGCTACCAACCTTCTCTAAAGACTTCTGAAATAGGGCGTAAAAATAATATGAAGATGTGTAGGATTAAAAAATTACCATCCCATCCAACAGGGTGCAGGCTTCCCTTGCAGTGATTTGGGGTGTCCAAGGCAGGTCTGGGGGAGGCTGGGGAGAGCTGTCTGTTGCTAGCAAGGAAGGAGGAGGCACATTGTTCCAAGCACACCATTTAATGAAGGCTTTGTTAGCAGGGAGGGCTGCAGCGCTGGATGGCAGCTGGTACTTAGGTGTCTCATTATTAAGGCAACATAATTCCGTCCATCTGCGAGCCGGGAAAGGGACAGTAATGGCTCACTCCAGCCCAAAGCCACCCTCAGCTCTGATTGCCCCTTTCCCTTACTGAGTGACACCATATACATGTATGTGGCACCCATATATGCACCCATTTCTGCTTTTTTTTTTTTTTAATAACCCCAACACTTGTTTTAAATGACTCCATATCTGTGGTCATTAGGGAGGCAGGTCTCTCTGGATCTAAAGAATGAAGAGCCCAGCTGTGCCTGGTCCCCAGGGTACAGCGGCAGGGAATCAAATCACAGCATTAGCAGGATACTGAAGACAACAGGGTGAGGGAGAGAGCTCCCAGCTATGGTGAGTGGTATTGTGTCCCCCATCCAATTAGGAGGCCCCTTAGCCTTCATGGGGGTAACCTCGATTTCTTGATGGGATAATAGGAAACTCGTACTAAAAGGACCCTTTAGGTAAATTTAGATTTTGTCTATCACCTAAGTTTGAAGCATTTAGAAAATTAAATAAACCCTTTGTCATTCCATTACCCAGAATATAAACAACAATACCTGTAAGAATGGCAGCAAGTTGTACCTCCCAACACCCTGTGGGAAGTCTAAAGGCACTGCCACCGTGTCTGCCTTCTGCGTCACACTTGGTCGCTGTCACCTGCTGTGCCGGGCTTCTATTAAACTCCATTTCTTTTTAAAAATTTTTTATCAGTGGTACCTGTTTGCAATACATAATGGTTACATTCGCTGTGGAGAGTGGGTACATGTGCATGGCCTACCTCGATTCTCTTTTCCCCCCTTCCCTTCCACCTCCTTCTTTTCTTTGGCCAGAATCAGCTTCATTTATTTATCATATAAATCCTAATAAGGTTAATTACCGTATGTACAGATTAGCACGCAGACTATAGGCCAAGGAACACCTAAAACAACCTCACTCTCACACACGCCACTACCGTCCACTCTTCTCTTCCCTCTCTCCCACAGCCATTTTCATTCACCTATCACACGCTCGGCATGGGCATGTGGGGCTGGACATCGCCCATGCACGTGACCAGTGAGGGCCACCCAGCCTCGGCCAGATTCAGTGACCTCCTTGGTAAAAATCCTCCAGCTAGCCCCCTCCCCCAAGTGTCTCAGGGCTCACTCTGGGTTCCTGCCTGCGTCTCCCCTTTCCTCTCCTTCCTCCCTCTTCGCTCCCCAAGGCAGGACAGGTCCTTTGCTTTTGCTGCTTCCTTCCAAACGTGCCCGCAGCCTCTTTGTTAGAGTAGCAGAGACTTCCAAGCACTTGCCCTAGATGACTGCCCCTGCAGTATCACTCTCTTCTCCTCTCTCTCTCTCTCTCTCTCACCCTGCATGCACATATCGATAGTGTGATAAATACTAAAGTTTTCTGTTAAATAAACATATTTTATCGCCATGGAACGTTATTTAAAACACAGATTTTGAAATCAAGACCTCACAATCTCACTTCTCTGTGGTAGTCTGGTAACTGCTGTCGAGTGCTCCGGGAATGCCCACGGTGAGGGTGAATGTCAAATGACAGTAATAAACACTGGTGAGCCTGTAATTCCCTACCAGCAAGACAGCAAACCTCTCATAATCTTCCCTCCCCTCTCTTCTCCTAATGAGAGGCCTTTCGCTGCCCTCCCAGTGGCGGAGAGGAATATGGGCTATAACTCGGATCCTTAAAAAGCAGCAGCTTTCAAAGAAGGAAATGCAGGCACCTGACCACGTAGATTCCAAACCACAGGAGCAGGCACTTTGGTTGCTGACACAGAGCCATTTCCCTTTCCTCCCGCTTCCCGCTCAAAAAGAATGGGGACACCCCCATCTCGTTCCTGAGGCTACGCCTCTTCCACACTACTAAAGGATAAATCTCCCTCGATCTATGCCAACTGTGGTGGTACAGTTATCCTTGCCAGTGCATTTTCAGCATAGGCGTGCGATGTAGTTCTGACCAATAAGCTATCAGCAAGGATCTACTGGGGGCCTTAGAAAGTGGTTCCTTTACTTTCCAAGGAAAGAATTAAAAGCGAGGAGAGAATCTATTCATGTCTCTGCACAACAGCTGGAGCTGCAGCAGCCATCTTGTTTCTATGAGGATGTGATGTACAGGATGACATGGCAGAGTAAAAACACCAAAAACCTGAGTCTTTGATGTCACCATTTACCTCTGAATTAACCAACCTTGTGCCAATTTGGCCCTTATTAATACCCTTATGTAAGCCAGTTGAGTTGGATTTTTTTGGCTTCTTGTGTCTGAAGCATCTTGCTGTGACATCACAGTGCTGTCGCTCACAGGCAGCGTTTTGAGGAAAGGGATTCCCACGGCAGCCGGGAGTTCACGGTTTCATGGAGGTCACCGCCAGCATGCGTTCATTCTGTCTCTTGTGTGTAGACCGACATTTGGTTCAAAGGCAGCAGAATGGTCTTTTCAGGAAATGACAAAGATGCCATAGTGAGTATTTAAAAGGCTGACTTGTTTCAAAAGAGCCTCTCTTGCATCCTGCCTCATCTTGCTGTCCAGCCCTGGGGACTTCCTCCTCAGCAAGGCAGCTGCCCTGACCTGTTCCTGCTGCTTGGGAATATCCGCTTCCCAGAGCAACCAGCGATCAATGGGTGGGTGTGGCCAGAAGCCCTGGAGTCACGGAGCAATCCGGACACAAAATCACCTTCTCCACCTCCAGACAGCTGGGCCCCAACCCTCCTTTGGTGGCATGAGTAATGTCCCCTCATTGTTAATTATAAAAGAGGATCGACCCACGTTACTTACAAGCTGATTGTCCTTCAAAATATTACAGAAGAGAAAAAAATCCTGTAGATTAATGACTTGTCCCTCAACTCATCTTCCAGCAGCTAAAATTTGGGAGAGTGAATGAATGTGGGTTCTGGTATTTTTTGTTCCTAAGTCTCCATTTTGGATCACTGATATTAATCCAGTTTAAGCCTCAGCAACTGGTTATGTGACCTTAAAGAATTGACTTAAGCTCTTTAAGCCTCCGTGTGCTAGTAAAATTAGACTAATAATTTTATTACTGAGAGTCACTAAGATAATGTAGTTGAAGTGCTTGGCCTAATGCTTGGGGAGAAGCAAGCGGTCAATAAACATTAACTATTGTTGTAGTGGGTCATTGTTGCTAATGATTATGCAAAAGTGTGGCCAAAGACACATGAGTTTAGTTTTGTTGTGCTCCTTCTTTGCCTTCCTTAGCCATAAAAGGGGGACAAAATTCAGCACCATACTGAAGAATGAAGTAACTTCAAATTCATGCTAAGTCTCTAAGCACTAGATTTGCCAGGCATAATATTAGTACTATAAAGCGTTAGATGAAAAGTTCATTCCAGAATACCTCTTCAAGTCAGAAAACTAAAGTATTTTCTTTGCTAGTTACAATAATCTTCCCTTTCCTTGTGTCAAGAAAGACAATGGAGAGACGAGGCAGCCAGAATCCCCGTGACTTTCGTATCTATTTTACTGAAGGTTGTACAACCCAGAGAAATTAATTCCACAAGGGGGAGACAGGGTCATGCTAAATTTCCTGAGATGGCGAAAAAGAATAAAGCTGTTGGAGGACTTCCAGAGACTTTTTAGGGCCAGTCAGATTGCCTGCTCTTCCTTTAATCCCACCACTCACTGGGCCAGTAGAGAAAAAGCTAGAAGGCCACAGAAGCTGAAGCTCGTTCCCAAGCAGACCTTTTAATGAAGACAACAAGCGGCTTCCAACTTGACCTTGTTCTTCCACCTTAGCCTGTGACACCCCTGTCCACCAACCCTCTTTCTCCTAGCAACCAAATTCTGTTCTCCCCTCCACTTCCTGTTCTCAGGCCTTCTCTTAGTCTTCCTGGGGGAGGAACTAAAACCCCCGCTGCCCGCCAGGTGTGCTTCCTCCCAGAGCACTGGCAGCCTGTGGGATTTCCAGCTGGCAAGCAGGGAGGCACCTCGAAGCCGACAGGCCGCAGGGAAACCTGAAAGCCATGCTGTGGGTCCCCAGGAGACGAGCAACAACTCAGCCGCCATGTTTGCTGCTTCCTGGGCAGCTCCAGGTTGCTGTCTGTGCGTCAGAGTGGGCCTTCCGGAAGGAGAGGGTCTAGCTTGGGTCAGTCCCAGGGTGTCCAGGAGGCTTCTGCCTTCAATGGGCTGCCATATATGTCTCTAACCAGAGGAGAATCAGGGCCTGGTTTTCCTGACTAGGCCGCTTCCTACCTGGGGACTGGGCCTGGATTCACCAGTCGTTATGTGAGGACGGCAACGCTCAGACTGCAGAGCTGCATGAGGCTTAAGGGTCAGAGGAGTAGATGAGTTCAAATCATGCCCTGAGGCTCTGAAGGATGTTGCTAAGAGACCACTCTGCAACGCAGCAGGATTCCACAGATACTGCCTTATGCACGCGCGTGCTCACTCACACACATACACACACACACACACACACACACATACACACAAGCAGGATGGCCCTGTGTAGACCAGCCTGACCCTCTCTGGATTCCAGTCCTCTTCTTCGTTCCTGTATCTCCAGGTACTCAAGTGCTTCAGGGCTCGCATTACTGATCGTTCATCAAACTCACTTCTGTGAGCTCCTTGGACACCTCTGGCTTCACCGCCGCCCTGCCTCAACCCACCTTCCACTGCAGCCGCCGTCACCTGTCCTATCTGATAGAACGTGAGTCTGGGGACCCCTGACAGAGGGACCGGCCTTTGGCTTCAGTTTCAGAACCCCGGCAAGGGCATCTGGGGCCACTCAGACAGGCAGCAGCAGTGGGCCCGGTGCCCAGCAGGCAAAGGGCTGAGCACAAGCGCTGGGTGGGGCTGAGCTGGGGGCCACAAGGACTCCCAGCGCTGACCGCTTGCCAGTCACCAGGACTGTTTTCTGTCGTGGCTTCGGCAAGAAGGAAGCTGCAAAGCCTGAGCCAGAATGTCGCAGGCAGGGGCATCAGCATAAGGAGCGGCAGATGCAAAAGCCCGGGGCAGAGGGCAACTAGCTCCCACAGGAGGCTCCATCTCTGATGGAGGATGCAGCTGCTGGTGTGAGCGGGTCATGCCACGGTGCTTGTGGATGACAAAGAACACAACACTTATATGGACCGCCCCCCCCACCGGGGGTACTGACAGTGTGGTAAAGCGTACCCTATTCTTTCCGAGGACTTATCGGTTTTAGTTTTGTCTTTTCTGTGTATAACTTGTTGTTCAATTTTGATTTAAAATCTTTAATGATGACAGCACAGCCAAAAGGTCCATCGGCCAGCAAACGGATAAACAACACATGGTACATACATACGATGGAGTATTATTCATCCTTAAACAGGAAGGAAATCCTGACACATTCGACAGCTTGACTGAACCTTCAAAACATGATGCTAAGCACATAAGAAGTAACACATGCCTTGGAAGGAGTAACAAAGGGACAAATTCATCGTAATTCCACTTCCGTGAGGAACCTGTCACCATATTCAGAGAGACAGGAAGCAGAAGGCAGCTGCTGAGGTTGAGGAGCCGAGGCAGGTGCTGGCGTTTCGCAGATCCCGTTTTAGTTGGGGAACAGGAAATATCCTGCATCGGCGATGGTGACCGTTGTACAATGCTGTGGATGTACTCAGTACCCCTGGACTGCTCACAGGAAAATGATTAAAATGGCAAATTTTATGTTATATATCTTTTACCACAATGCACTTTAGAAAATACTTCAAGCTTACAGGAAAGTGCATATAACAACCACTTGCACAAGTTCCTGGATTTAATAAATGCTTGCATTTCACCATGTTTGCTGCTCTTTTTTTGAAGTAATAAATCATCACAGATGCAATAATCCTTTCTTCCCCCTCCATCCATTTCATTCCTCTTTCTCTTCCTTCCCATATGTATTTCACATTTTGCTGCATAATTATATATGATACTGCCTCCTGTTATATTTCAATTAAACAGAGGATGTCTTTGCAACTTCCTGTTTGCTACTCAATTCTTCTGGAGCATTTTCCAGGGCGATCTATGTAGCCCATTCATTTTCAACTCCAGAATCCTAGTCCATCTGCTGAATCCCCTGCTGATGACAGTTAGATTGCTTCCACTTTTTTTCTATCATAGGTGCCTCAGTGAACATCTGTGGCAGTCACCCGAGTTCTTGTGTTAGTTTCTCCGGTGCCCGATCCTAAGTGGAATTTCAAGTGACAGTGGCGCACACTTTCCACTCACTGCACATTGTCACACTCATCTCCAGCGCAGTTGCACAACTTGAATTGCACCTTCACTGAGAAAGATCTCTTATTTCCACCGCTGCCTCTGCCAGTCTTTCTCCCTCCCAGTCTAGTGGGTGTGAAATGATAGCTCATGAAGAAGAGCGTGCAGTTCTCCTCCGTAGGGAGACCAAGCAGGTTTTCACAGGTGCACTGGGCTTTCTAGTTCTCCTGTCATGGCTCTCTTGCTCTCCCGCTGTAATCTCCAGAAAGGCGGGGACAGCCAGCCTCTTTTGTAGCGGTGCACGCATTGCTAGCATGATGCCCGGCATAGGATAGGAAGCGCTAAGTAGCGTGACTGAATGAACAGATTGCCAGACATTCTGATAGGTGTTAGGTAAGTACATGATTTAAAAGCTTGCAACAGTAGGCGCTGTACTTTCTCCTGACTTTAAGGTCCATGGAGGTTGAAGGATTTGCTAAGGGCATAGGCTACTGAGTGGCGGGACCTGGCCCAGGCCTGGCCTGGCTCAGCGCAGAGTGCACGCCTTTCTGCTAGAGCATCGGGCTTCCTCGAAGCTCCAGGTGCCTGAGCAAGGAGCAGGCGCAGGAGGATATGCAATGCTGTTGTGATTCTTTAGCCCAGCTACTTTATCTTGATTAAATCTCTCAAGAAATACAAACATGTTTCTATGTCTAAAGGTGCAATTGCCTTTGGAAGCATTGAAGGAGTTTATTAATCTGGAGGCTTTGTAGCAGAAGGGAGAAAATACCTTCCTACTTAAAACCTGGCACCAGCTACTGCTGCTTCCGACCATTTCTGCGGCCTCTTTCTCCCGCACACCAAGAGCCTGCACCCACCGCCTGCCATCTCAGAAACACCTCTGACCCCCTCTGCACACCCGCCCCGGTCACCACTCCCCCACCTGCCCCCCCCAGCCTCCCCTCCTGTGGCTGGCAGCACCATCCTGCCGGTTGCTCGGAGCACAGCCTTGGACCTTGGAGTCGGCCGCTCCAAGTGCTCTTCCCGGCTCGCACTCACCGCCTCAGCAAACCGCGCTGGCTTGGCCTGAGCCGGGCCCTGTGCGCACCCGCTGTCTGCCCCACTGCCTCTGCCCTTCCTTGGTTTCCTGAGACTGCCGTGCTTCTCCGTCCTTCCCTCCCTCTGGTCGGCTGTTCACAGCAAGCAGATCATCTTCCTTCTCTGCCCCAAAGCCTTCACCCCACTGCTTTGCATTTGGTCTGAAAACTGGAGTCCCAGCTCTGTGGAGTGCCATGCGCCTGGAGTCCCGGCTCTCCGGGAGGCTGACGCAGGAGGGCTGCTTCAGCCCAGAAGTCTGGGGCCAGTCTGAGCAACATAGTGCAAGCCTTCCAAAAACAACCAGAGTGCTTAAAATGATGCCTGGCTCCCCTTCTTCCGGAGCTCTCGCCTCTCGTACCCTTCTCCGGCCACACTGGCCTCCTTGCTGTCCTCACACAGGCCAGGGTCACATCAGTCTCAGGGACTTCCAGACCGATGTATAGCTGACCCAGAGACAGCTGTGCAGCAGCCCGCTCACCCACCACTGCCCCACCCCGCTTCAAGGCTCTGCTGAGGGCTCCCTCTTCCAAGACCCGTGCCCAGCACACCCACACCAGGCCTCCCCCACCCCCTCTGCCCCTGGCCACCACATCCCAGCCCCTGCCGCAGCTCCGCCGTGCCTGTCTCAGCACATCCCAGCGTGGCGGAGCTTTGCTTTCCTTTTCATTGTTATTGTTATTTCACATTCTTCGCGCGGGGCTGGCACGTGCGCAGAACACGTCTCCGTTCTTTGTACGTCCCCTTCTCCCCTCCCCCACCCTCCCTTTCCCATTGGCAGAAAGGTCCATCTCCCTGATTCCTGTTAGCTACCCCGTATTTTGCCCTTTGAGTTATTTACACTTTGGATTTTTCATATAAGAGAAATTATGTGATATTTAAGCTTGGGTGTCTGACTTATTTCCTTTAACACTGTGGTTTCAAGGTGCATCCATTTTCCTACAGCTGACTCGCATTTTTCCTTCTTTTTGGACATTTTCTTTGTCCATTCATCTGCTGGACATATAGGCCACTTCCATGATCTCACTTTGGCAAGTCATCCTACTGCAAACATGGGCATGTGTGTGTGTCACTGTAGTATGATCTTTACCCTTTTCAGGATCGAGGACATATTTTAATACTATACACTTAATAAATAATGTCTGGCTTTCTCCACTAGAATATCAGCTCCTTGAATGCAAGAATAACTTTTTCTTTGTGCCCTCATGTATTCCAAGCACCCAGAACAGTATCTGGCATGTGGGTAGTGCCCAGATGTTTGAATGAGTGGTTTGCCTGCCCAGTAGCGTTTTTCCTCTCTCCTGTCTTACTAAGAACACCTCACGGGGTTTTGCTTGTTTTGTTTGTTTGTTTATTTTGTTTTTTGCTTTTGTTGTTTGGGTTTTTTTAGATGACTATTATTTGAATCAAGGTCTCACTATACAGCTCAGGCTGGCTTCAAACTTTTTTGATCCTCTTGCCTCAGCCTCCTGAGTACTGGATTACAGGCATGCACCACCACATCCTACAAAAATTTCAACTTTCGATGGAGAGAAATTACCAGTCCTACAGAAGCATTCAGCCTCCTTGTCCATAAATGATCTTGAGGTAGGCCTGTGGTCCCACTTTTGAAATCTACAGGTTATCCCTTCAAAGGCTTTTTGCAGCTGGAATACAGGCTTTCAGCCTTGGTTTGATCAAGTTTGCACTGTGGCATTAGATGTGGGCTCTTTACGTGCGTACGTGGCTGGGTTTTAGGCACATGTGGGGATAAAAAGCCTGGCTTCTTCCCAGGCTGCTGTGCTGGGTCACAGCTGCTCAAGGAGGCTGTAGTCTCTGGCTCACTTCATCTGCAAAAGTCCTATGTTTTGCTTGCACATTGTCTCTGGTGGCATTGTCCTTAGTTTCATCACTCCTGGTTAGAAAGACTATATTCTACCATTCCAAGTGTATCAGTCACTCTCTAATACACTCACACCCAAAATTCAAAGCAGGAGAAGTTTGTTTTGGCTCATGGTGTCAGAGGGTTTGGTCCATGGTAAACTGGCTCCAAGGCAGAAACAGCATGATAGAAGGGCCTGGTGGAGGAAGGCTGCTCAATCTACGGTAGTCTGTAAGCAGAGAAGAGGCAAGAGCTGAGGACAAGAATTCATCCTTCCAGGTCGCACCCCAGTGACCTACCTCCATCCATGTCCTAAGAGCTGTAGCACCCCTAAGTGCTAAGCTGTAGCACTACAATCAACTTCCAAACACATGAGACTTTTGGGGGACATTTTAGATCTAAACCATAACACCAAGAAATTCTGTAAACTCATCCCTATTCCTTCATAAACCTTCTTTTTTTCTTATACTAACTAGAGCAGATTTGGACATCTGCATCAAGACATGTGGCAGATGCAGGATTTCTTTCTTCTTACTCCTCCTCCTCTGTTGAACACAGGGTTGGTAAAGAAGTAATATCCAGCCAAGAGTGGTGGTGCTACTATAATTCCAGCATTCTGGGAGACTAAGGCAGGCAGATAGTGAGTTTAAGCCCAGCCTGGGCAATTTAGTGATTTGAAAAGATTATTACAAAATAAAAAAAGAGTGGGAATAAAGCTTAGTGTGAAGACCCTGGGTTCAATCCCCAGTACTACCCAAAAAAAGGAATGTTTAGTGATGTTGCCACTTTTTAATAGTGCATAATAAAGTTGAGGAAGAGAATTGGACTTTGAGGTTAGTACTACTGAAGACACGATTAAGTCATCAAAATCACCCAGGACTCATTCCCTCCAGACTTCTTGCAACATAATAATCAAAGAGGTTTAGTAAACATTTGGTGCATTTCCTGGCATTTTTGGTTAATCACATACTGTTTTAAGTTGTGCATAAAATTTAAGAAAAGCCAGGCCCCTTGAAGGTGCTGGGATGTAAGCCACAGATGGAGACAGAGTGAGGAAGAGAGGGGCTGCTCTGCATGGGTTAGAGGAGCCCAGCTGAGGTGTGAATGAGTAATCGCCAAGATGACCCTCATGGAGTCCACAGACACCGCGGAAGGCTGTCCCCATGCCTGTGAGGAAGTTGGGGTGGGGCAGGAGGCTGAGCAAGTCTCCCTCAGTGGTGGGTGACCAGGACAGAGCCTGCCACAGCGGGAAAACTGGAAGCCCTGCCTGATCCCATCTCTAGGCTGTAGGCTGCTGGTGACTGGAAGAAATCCTATCACTTCCGGTGCAGAGGAAGACCCATGGGAAATGGGAAAGGGAGGAGACAAGCCCTCCCAGGCCTGCAGGGGGCCGGCCTCACAGCGCTTCCCAAAACACAGGCAGACTTCGCCAATGAAAGGAGAGTCAGAAACATGGAAAACCAAATCAATTACAGTAGAGTTAATCAGACTTTACCACTTTGTTCCACTGAGAGATACAACCAGAAAAATGAATAGGCAAGGCACACACTGGGAGAATTTTGCAAAATCCATGTTGGGTAAGGCATTTATACCTACAATTAATAAAGAATTCTCAACATGTAATAAGAAAACAAACCATAC